CGGCCGGGCGCGGTGGCTCAAGCCTGTAATCCCAGCACTTTGGGAGGCAAAGGCGGGTGGATCATGAGGTCAAGAGATCGAGACCATCCTGGTCAACATGGTGAAACCCCGTCTCTACTAAAAATACAAAAAATTAGCTGGGCATGGTGGTGCGTGCCTGTAATCCCAGCTACTCAGGAGGCTGAGGCAGGAGAATTGCCTGAACCCAGGAGGCGGAGGTTGCGGTGAGCCGAGATCGCGCCATTGCACTCCAGCCTGGGTAACATGAGTGAAACTCCGTCTCAAAAAAAAAAAAAAAAAAAAAATAGACACACAAGAAGGGGAAACACTTGGTCTTATCCTGGGATGGCATCATGTGCCACTCCCAAGGCCGCTGCAGCCATCTTGCCAGCTGTGTGAGTCTGCTCCGGCTGCCATAACAAAATACCACAGACCGGCCGGCTTAAACAAAAGAAATCTATTTCCTGACCGTTCTAGAGGCTGGAAGTCCAAGATCAAGCCATTGGCAGAGTTGATTTTGTTATACGAAAACGGTCCTGATCCAGACCCCAAGAGGGTTCTTGTATCTCACACAAGAAAAACTTCAGGGTGAGTCCATACAGTAAAGTGAAAGCAAGTTTATTAAGAAAGTAGAGGAATAAAGGACTACTCTACATACAGAGCAGCCCCGAGGGCTGCTGGTTGCCCATTTTTATGGTTATTTCTTGATGATATGCTAAACAAGGGAGGATTATTCATGCCTCCCCTTTTTAGACCATATAGGGTAGCTTCCTGATGTGGCCATGGCATTTGTAAACTGTCATGGCACTGGTGGGAGCATAGCAGTGAGGACAACAGAGGTCAGTCTCATGGCCATCTTGGTTTTGGTGGGATTTAGCTGGCTACTTTACTGCAACTGTTTTATCAGCAAGGTCTTTATGACCTGTACCTTGTGCTGACCTCCTGTCTCATCCTGTGACTTAGAATGTCTTAACTGTCTGGAAACGTAGCCCAGTAGGTCTCAGCCTGATTCTACCGAGCTTGTATTCAAGATGGAGTTGCTCTAGTTCAAATGCCTCTGACAGTTTCTCCTGAGGGCTCTCTCCATGTCCTGCAGACAGCCGTCTTCCCACCGTGTCCTCACATGGCCTTTCCCTGTGCACAAGTGACCCTGCTATTCTGTGTGTCCAAATTTCCTCTTCTTATAAGGACACCAGGGGGATTGGATTAAGGCGCATCCTAATTACCTTGTTTTAACTTCATCACTTCTTTAAAGACCCTGTCTTCAAGGCTGGCTGTGGTGGCTCATGCCTGTAATCCCAGCACTTTGGGAGACCAAGGTGGGCGGATCATAAGGTCAGGAGATCGACACCATCCTGGCTAACACGGTGAAACACTGTCTCTACTAAAAATTTAGCCAGGTGTGGTGGCATGCGCCTGTAGTCCCAGCTACTTGGGAGGCTGAGGCAGGATAATCGCTCGAACCCGGGAGATGGAGGTTGTAGTGAGCCGAGATTACATCACTGCACTCCAGCCTGGGTGACAGAGCAAGACTCTGTCTCAAAAAAAACCCATCCTATCTTCAAATACTGTTACATTCTGAGGTACTCGGGGTTAGGGCTTCAACAAATAAATTGGAGGGACACAATAACACCAGCAAAGTAGAAAATATAAAGGAATTTGATGCCAGTGCTGGGCTGCTCAAATAACCTGAAAACACTCATTATTGGACTTGTTTTAAGAGAGAATAAATTTTCCTTCTTGTCTAAGCTTTACCTTGGCAGGGTTGTCTGTTTCTTGCAGCCAGAATGCTGGCGCTATGTTTGCTCAAGCTGTTCCCTCTGCCCAGGGTAACCTTCCTTCCATTCACCCTTCAAGGTTTGGCTTGAATGCCACCAGCTCGGGGAATGGCTCCTGATTCTGCCTTCCCCAAACAAGTTGCTGGCCTGTTATCAGAGTTCTTGGCTTGTGTGTCTTTGTCTCTAACCAGATCACGGTCAGCGTGTGCACTGACCACCTGCTGCTACTTTCCCCACTCCTGCCTGTGGCAGGCATTGATAATCAATCCCTTCTTCCCACTGGGAGTAGATCCGGTTTTTATAATCCTCTATGCAGCCCTCCAGGCAGCCCCTGCCAATCGACTGGAGGTGGCTCCAAAGAGCTGAATCCTATCTGCCACAATCATTAAGTCTTTGAGAGCAGGGGCTTCGTTTTGCTCATCTCTTCTTTGATTCACAAGCTAATTTTAATAATATATTATCATTGTGCATTTCTGTTCCCATTCAATCCCTGCAGCAGCCTTCCAAGGCAGGTACCGCCATTATCCTGCTTTTGACACATGAGGGCTCTGAGGCTGTAAGAGATGAGGTCATGTGTTCAAGGTCATAGATGTCTCAACCTACGTCCACCATCTCCAACCACTTCTGCTGACCTTTACTAAGCACTTCGTCTCTTATGGCTCTGCAGGGAGCACTTCAGGGAATACAGAGACTGTTTTCTAATTTTAGTGGCATTCAAAACACTTATTGTCCTATTTGAGATTCCCAGCAGTTCAGTGATGTTTGGAGCTAGTCCAGGAATAACATAAGCTCCCATTTTATGGACAAGGAAGTTGAGGCCCAGAGAGAGGTAAAGGCTTGCAAAAGCCAGTCATGGAGATCCCAGAGCAAGAGACTTCACCTTTCATGCCCTGCTCCTGCTCCAAGGGTAGGAATTCTGGGCTGGCTCAAGGGGTTAACTTGGAGCTTTCATGTCCAGAGCAGAGTCAGGAATTGGCTAGCACGCCCTGGCCTCTTCCTGTTCGCCTGGCAGGCTGAGTGGAGATCTCACTTCCTGCTGCTGGGAGGTAACCGGCAGGATGCAGGAGAGGGAGCGGCTGTGAGAGTCAGCTCTAAGCAGCCTGGGCTATTTCCCCTCCAAGGGAGGGGGAGGAAGTGGAAGGGCTAGTGGCTAGGAGTCTCCTATAGCTTTCACACGGAGAGGCAGTGAGGAGCTCTGGCCCTCACACCAGGCTTTCAGAAAAAGCCTTTCAGTAGAATCTAATGCACTGGTACCTGTGCTTTACAGTTTCCAACTTCTCTCCCTTCCATGGCCTGTGACTTTCTGGCCACAGCTCTGACGAGCAGAGCAGGGCTTTAGGGAATTATTGTTCCCATTGGAAAGACAAGAACGCTGAGGCCAAGAGAATTTACAATAAGCAACCTGGACCAGGACATATACAGCAAATCAGTTCCAGAGCTTAGGTCTCCAGAACCCAGGTGTCATGGCAAGGTATGGATGGGCCACCTAGAACTTTTCCATCTGTCCTAAATGGGGCATGCAGAATGCATAGGTGGGGCCTACAGAATGCATTGGTCCTAGAGGTAAGGAACGCTAGGCTCAGCTCCAGGCCAGCCAGAAATTCCAGGTCCTCCTGTTGAACCAGGCTCTACACTTCAGCGTCACTTTTAAAAATCTGTATAATACCTGGGTGTGGTGGCTCACACCTGTAATTCCAGTACTTTGGGGGGCCGAGGAAGGCAGATCATCTGAGGTCAGGAGTTCGAGACCAGCCTGACCAACATGGTGAAACCCCATCTCTACTAAAAATTAGCTGGGCATGGTGGTGCACGCCTGTAATCCCAACTACTTGGGAGGCTGAGGCAGGAGAATCACTTGAACCTGGGAGGTGGAGGTTGCAGTGAGCTGAGATGTTGCCATTGCACTCCAGCCTGGGCAACAAGAGTGAAAATCCATCTCAAAGAAAAGAAAATCTGGGCCGGGCGCGGTGGCTCACGCCTATAATCCCATGACTTTGGGAGGCCGAGGCGAGTGGATCACAAGCTCAAGAGATCGAGACCATTCTGGTCAACATGGTGAAACCCCGTCTCTGCTAAAAATCCATAAATTAGCAGGGCATGGTGGTGCGTGCCGGTAGTCCCAGCTACACAGGAAGCTGAGGCAGGAGATTTGCTTGAACCCAGGAGGTGGAGGTTGCGGTGAGCCGAGATTGCGCCACTGCACTCCAGCCTGGGTAACAAGAGCAAAACTCTGTCTCAAAAAAAAAAAAAAAAAAATCTGTATAATGGGTACAATCATGGTACTCAGCACTTCAAGGAGTGAGTTAAAATATGTAAAGTGTTCAGCACAGAGCCACAAAGGGACCTTGCTTCCCTAATACACTCCCAAGAGAGTAAAACAGCTCAAGTCCCTGTGAAAGTGGTCAGAATAAAAATGGAATCACTAATGTTAGGAAAATCTTGACAAATAGAGCTGGGGAAGGCCATAGAGGGGTTTCATGCTTGTATAACAAATAAGACTGATAACAAAACAGGTAACAGAGACTGATAACAAAAAAGACTACAAAAATCACAACCTTGCACAAAGGCCATCGAAACCTTGCACAAAAAATACTTCTGCAAGGACATCTGCCCAGCAACTGCTGTCCAACTTTAGACTAACATCACTCTTGCTATTGATCTTTGTAGCCAAGGATAATTATTTCAAAAACAATAACGTAATCCTTATTTTTTTTTGCTTTAAAAATCTTTGTCTTCCTTCACCTCCCTGAGAATGCACATTGTTTACTATAGCATGTGTAATTCTCACTACAATGTTCCTAAGTGAAATATCTTTTCTTTTAGAGAGCCTCTGTTTGTTCTTTAAGTTGACAACCACTAGGCAGGTAAAAAGTTAACATTTACTGAGCACTTATTTTTTATATTTTTTGAGACAGAGTCTTGCTCTGTCACCCAGACTGTAGTGCAGTGGCGCAATCTCAGCTCACCACAATCTCCACCTCCCAGGTTCAAGTGATTCTCCTGCCTCAGCCTCCTGAAGAGCTGGGATTACAGGCATGTGCTACCATGCCCAGCTAGTTTTTGTATTTTTAGTAGAGACGGCGTTTCACCATGTTGACCAGGCTGATCTTGAACTCCTGACCTCAGGTGATCCACCTGCCTTGGCCTCCCTAAATGCTGGGATTACAGGCGTGAGCCACCATGCCTGGCCTTACTGAGTACTTAATATGTGCCAGAAGTTCTTCTAGGTGCATTTAATCCTTCCAGATTCACTATGAGGTTAAACTAGTATTATACTCATTTTAAAGATGGGAAAACTGAGGCTCTGGTGGTTAAGAGACTTCCCAAAGGTCATAACCCTAGTAAGTGCCAAAGCTAGGATTCAAACTCAAGCACCCTGTCTTCAGAGCCCAGGCATACTGCCTCACTTAATAGTAATGATTTTTTTTTTTAATCATAACTTGCTCGGCTACAGTATTCTATAGTTTATAAGGCGCTTTCCACTCACTCTTTCATTTCTCACAACAGCAGCCTAGGGAGGGAGAAAATGTTTACTCCCAATTTATAGAGGGGAGGGGGAAACCGGCTGTGAAAGGGGGAGCTGACTTGCCTTGCCAAGGTCACACAACAAGGTCAGTGGCAGAAGTAGGGCTGGAGCTTGGAATTTTCCAAATTAGGACTTCAAATTTGGGGGGCCCTTCTCCAGCCTTGGCCAGTTCCCAAGCTCCCCCAGTAACATGCCTTCTGGCTAGAGGCCTTGAGCCTCCCACCCCAGGTCAGCTGTGCCTGGACTTCCACCCTTCAGCTGCAGGGTCCCAAGGCTGTGTCCTCCATGCCACCGCCCCCCACCCCCGCCCTCCCCATCTGATGGGAGGGGCAGGAACTCCAGGGCTGGTGGAGTTTCCGACTAGGCAGGAAAAAGAACAAAGGAACTGAGGTGGGGGTTGGAGGGGATGGCCAGGAGGGTGGCAGGAGTAGAGGGGACACTTCACCATGGAATATGAAGTCAAGAAAGGGAAGAAGGTAGGTGGGAGGTTGGGAGGGACGCAGGGAAAGGAATGTCCCCAAAGCTGGGGAAGGGGGCAGACTGGGGTGGGCGAGGGATTGGTAGTGAGGGGCATAAGGGGGACCTTTCTTCTCATTTGGAGGTAACTTCATTCCCACTCTTGGGCAGCCAGAACTTCAGGCTCTAAACTCCCTATTTCTCTACTCTCAGTGGGCTCTGGCATCCCTAAAATGGACAGACAGGGACCCTCCCAGGAAACCTGGCCAGACAGACTTACTTTGGGAGATTCTCCACACCTGCTTCCCCGCTATTTCTGGTGGCTCCCTCCTGCAGCCTCTCAGACAGACACTCAGCAGATCCATTCTCCTGCTCACCACAATCCCAGACAGAAGGACCCAGCTGGGGCAATTCTGATAGGAGGTCACCTACCTAGGCTTGAGACTTCCGCCTGCTTCCCTGCTCCTCCCCACCTTTATCCAAGGGCCTATGTGTAAGGCGTCAGCCAGGAGCCATTCCCCCACCCCCAGATCCTCACCCCTTCTGACTCTGAAAAGATTTCTGGTATGGTTCCCCGGGTGTCTCACCTGGTTGTCTTTGGAGTTCAGGGAACCATTCTTATTTAAACTTCTATCTCACCCCCATTTCCACACTCCCCTCTCCCCTCTCCACCAGAAATGTGGGTCTGGGCTGTTGTGAAAGGTGCCCACATGAACCACAGAGGGCTCAGAAGGGAGTCAACACATAGGTGCATGTTTTCTCTTGGTTTGTTCTTTTAACAGATATTTATTGAGTGCCTATTATGCACCAAGCCCTTCAGTTTTTAAAAGGCAATGAACAAATTAATGGAAAATTGCATAGGAGGGCTGGATGCAGTGGCTCATGCCTGTAATCCCCGCACTTTGGGAGGCCGAGGCAGGCAGATCACCTGAAGTCAGGGGTTCGAGACCAGCCTGGCCCACATGGCCAGCTACTCAGGAGGTTGAGGCAGGAGAATCACTTGAATCCAGGAGGCAGAGGTTGCAGTGAGCTGAGATCATGCCACTGCACTCCAGCCTGGGTGACAGAATGAGACTCTGTCTCAAAATAAATAAATAAAAATTTACAGAAGGTCTATACTCAGTGCTGAAGGACAGAATATTAGGGTACCCAGCCCTAGACTGGTCAGTTTGAGTCGAGAGCTGATGGGTGGAAGGAAAGTGGGTAGGGAAGAGTGTTTGGGGCAGAGGAACAGCATATGCAAAAGCCCCACAGTGGGAAGGAATATAGCAAGCTGGAGGGACTGAAGGAGGACTGTGTAGTGGGGGCCCAGGGGACAAGAGTGAGACAAATGGGACTGGATAGGTGGGCAGAGCTGAGCCATTCAGGGCCACCGACAAAAATACCAATGCCACCCCATCCCCACCACACACACATATGCAAGACAAAGTCCCAGCTCCATAGCTGGCATTCAAGGCCTCTATGTGTTCATCTCATAATCTAGCCACTCAGGCTGACTGCACATGGCTTCTCCAGGCTTACCCTCAACCAGCCTTTGAGGCACCCAGAATTCTGCGTATGCTGTGCCCTCTGCCTGGCATGTTTTCTCCCAGATAGCTTCCTCTCATTCCTCAGTTTCTACATACCCCATCCAGGCTCTATAATATTGCTTCTAATCTAAGTTGAGCACCCATTAGAATCACCTGAGGGCTTGTTAAAACAGATCACTGGGTTTTACCCCCAGTTTCTGGGCCAATAGGTCTGGGGTGGGGTTCAAGGAATTGCATTTCTGGCCAGGCACAGTGGCTCATGCCTGTAATCACAACACTTTGGGAGGCTGAGGCAGGAGGATTGCATGAGCCTAGGAGTTCAAGACCAGACTGGGCAACAGAGTGAGACCTCATCTCTTAAAAATATGTATATTAGCTAGGTGTCGTCGTGGTGCATGCCTGTGGTCCCAGCTACTGTGAGGCAGAGGTGGGAGGATCGCCTGAGTCAGAAAGAATTTGCAATTCTAACAGGCCAACAGGTTATGCTGATGGTTATGGGGCTACGCTTTGAGAATCACCTGTTTAGATCCTGGCTACTCAAAGTGTGGCGCACAGACCAGTAACATCAGCACCAGATGGGAGTCTGGTAGAAATGCAGAGTCTCAGGCCCCAACCTAACCCTACTGAATCAAAACTCGAGGGCACATAAAGTTGGAAACTCATGAGTCTAGGTCATTTCTCACAAGCCCTAGAGGCAAGGATGGGGTCCAGGTCGCCAGTGAATCCTTAGCACCCAGCACAGAGTCCAGCCATACAGGTGTGAATAAATGTTTACTGAATGAATGAGTAAATGAACAGATGTATTTGTGGACTTGTGTTCTGTTTACCCGAACAAGAATGTGAGCTCCTTATGGGCGGGGGTGGGGAGAGGAGGGTTGACACCACACATTGACTCAGCGGTTTTCAGTTGAGCTGCCTTTTGAAATTACCTAAGGAGGCTTTAAAAAACTTAATGAATTTAAGATTAAGTCTATTAAGCCCAATGGCTCACACCTGTAATCCCAGCACTTTGGGAGCCCAAGGTAGGAGAATCATTTGAGCTCAGGAGTTCAAGACCAGCCTAGGCAACACAGTGAGACCTCATCTCTACTAAAAATTTTTAAAATTAGCAGGGCATGGTGGCACACACCTGTAGTCCCAACTACTTGGAAGGCTGAGGCAGAGGGATTGCTTGAGCCTAAGAGATTGAGGCTGCAGTGAGCTATGATTGTGCCACTGAGTGGCATAATCATTGAGCTGAGTGTTGCAATCTCAGCTCACAGCAGCCTCGACCTCCCAGGCTCAGGTGATCCTCCCACGTTAGCCTCCCAAGCAGCTGGGATTACAGGGTCGTACCACCACACCACACCTGGCTAATTTTTTTTTTTTTTTTTTTTTGAGGTGGAGTCTTGCTCTGTCTCCCAGGCTGGAGTGCAGTGGCACGATCTTGGCTGACCACAACCTCTGCCTCGCAGGTTCAAGCGACTGTCCTGCCTCAGCCTCCTGAGTAGCTGACATTACAGGCATACGCCACCACACCCAGCTAATCTTTATATTTCTAGTAGAGACAGGGTTTCGGCATGTTGGTCAAGCTGGTCTCGAACTCCTGACCTCATAATCCGCCCGCCTCTGCCTCCCAAAGTGCTGGGATTACAGGCATGAGCTACCGTGTCCGGCTGGTATATTTTTTGTAGAGACGGTTTCACCATGTTGCCAAGGCTGGTCTCGAACTCCTGGGCTCACAGCTCTCCTCCGTCCTCAGCCTCCCAAAGTGCTAGGATTACAGGCGTGAGCCACTGCACCTGGCCTTCCCCAGGGAGTTCTAAAGGATAGCCAGGGTTGGGAGCGACTGCTCTGAAGTGCAGTCCCACACTTGAGCTTGCATCAGAAGCACCTGGAGAGCTTGTTGGGCCCTGCTCCCAGAGTTTCTGATTCAGTGGGTCCGGGATGGGGCTCGAGAATCTGCATTTCTCTCACTTCCTAGGTGGTGATGTTGCTGCTACTGGTCCAGGAATCTCATATTGAAAAATGCTGTTCTAGATGGAACTCAAACTTTCTTTTGAGATTCAGATGGTTCGTCTGGGCTGAGCCCCAGAATTTGCACTTTTAACCTTGATCCAGGCCATTGTTATGCAGGTGTCCCTGAATTCTACTTAAATGTACTTATTAATGATTTCTAACTTTTAGGAAAGCACAGAGAATAGCATAAGAAATATTGAATCCTAATATATATTATACATACACACACACACACACCCCTCTGCCTCTGCCTCCTGGGTTCAAGTGACTCTCCTGCCTCAGCCTCTCGAGTAGCTGGCATTACAGGCTCCTGCCACAATGCCTGGCTAATTTTTTTATTTTTAGTAGAGATGAGTTTCACCATGTTGGCCAGGCTGGTGTCCAACTCCTGACCTCAAGTGATCCATCCGCCTCAGCCTCCCAAAGTGCTGGGATTACAGGCGTGAGCCACCACGCCCGGCCTTGAATCCCAATATTTTTCTGCATTTGCCCCAGCCTAGACTCATTCCTCAAACCTGGTTGGCAGGAGCTACACTCTCACCTGGGTGTTCAGAAAGAAGGTTTTGGGACCCAGAACGCCCAAGGTGAACTGTTGGTTCCACCACTACTAGCTGGTGACTTTAGCAGCTAGGTCCTCTCTAGGACTCAGTTTCTCCATCTGTAAAATGAAACTTACAGAGGTACCCCTTCTGCAGAGTTTTAGTGAGAGGTAATGTAAGTTAAAACGAGTATAATAAGTGCTCAATAAAAGCAGCCACTGTTAGCACTCTCATTCCTCGTCTCCTCCCCAGGGCTTTGTATCACCCATCCGAAGGCTGGTGTTCCCCAAGGCCGGGCGCCGAGCAGCCTGCAGGAGCAGCGTGAGCCGCCGGCCCTTGCACTCAATGCCCCTTTATCCCCCCGACTACCTCATCGACCCCCAGATTCTGCTGTGTGACTATCTGGAGAAAGAGGTCAAGGTACGTGCAGGATGAGAAGGGGTGAGAAAAACCTTGGGGTGAGGAGACCCTCCCCTCTCCTTGACACCAAGTTCTGATCAGCCCTGTCTCATACAGGGGAAGTTTCGGCTCCTGGGAAAGAGGCCTGGGTTCATGACCTCAGCAAGTGACTTCCATCTGCTGAGTATCCTCCATGTTCCCATCCCCAGGGGAGAGTGGATAGGAGAGTGTTCTGTGCACAGAAAAGCCCTATCTTTGTCAATTGAAATAACAGAAGGGGAGACTCACTAAAAGAAAGTGTTTACTCAGGAATAGGCATTGCAATGGGAATATGGGTGGCATGGTAAACTGTGTGTACGCAGGAGGTAAAGGAAGGCAAAGATTTTTAAAGAAAAAGTAAGGAGGATTACATAATTGTTTTGAGATAATTATCCCTGGCTGCAAGGATCAATAACAAGGGCAGCGCCATTTCCCAGTTGGACAAGCTGTTGCTGTCCTTGCAGGAATCTGTGTGGGGGGTGTGTGTGTGTGTGTGTGTAAGGTTGCGATGGCCTTTGTGCAAAGTTGTAGTTTTTCCAGTCTTTTTGATAGTTCTTGTTATCAGGCCTTCATGCATGGGAATCCTCCCTTCTATTTGTCAGGGCTTTTAACACAAGTGACTCTATTTTGATTGACTTTCACATTTCCCATGAGATTTTACTGCAAAGACTTTGCTGTTACTCAGACAGTAGCCAGATTAACAGCAAGGCACAAAGGACTTCCACCACTTAGGAGCTGTACTTCTCTGTCTCTATTGTTTTTCTTTTTTTTTTTTTTTTTGGAAATGAAATCTTGTTCTGTTACCCAGGCTGGAATGCAGTGGCACGATCTCAGCTCACTGTAACCTCTGCCTCCCAGGTTCAAGCGATTCTCCTGCCTCAGGCCTCCTGAGCAGCCGGACCACAGATGCACATTACCACATCCAGCTAATTTTTTTGTATTTTTAATGGAAATGGGGCTTCACCATGTTGGTCAGGCTGGTCTCGAACACCTGACCTCAGCTGATCCTCCCCCCTTGACCTCCCAAAGTGCTAGGATTACAGGTGTGAGCCACTGTGCCTAGCCAGGAGCTATACTTCTATTTCATGAACACCGTGAAGAGGCAATGATTGATATGGGGGTAGGGTTTTCCAAATTAGCAAACAACAAGCCACCTAGTAAAATCTGAATTTCAGATAAGCAATGAATACTTTCTTAGCATAAATATGTCCAAAATATTGCAAGGGACTAAAAATACTAAAAAGAAAAAACTTAGAAATTATTGATTTGAAGTTCAAATTTAACTGGCATCCTATATTTTATCTGGCAAACCGATATGGAGGGAAAACAAATAAATCCACTTAAAAATTGGGGACTGAAATTTCCTACAGATTTAAAGAAGAGAAAAGGTTTGATTGGTGGATTCACCTAGAAGAATACAACTAAAAATAATATTTTAAAAGTTGGCTGGGAGTGACGCCACCCCGGCCCAACCCGCTCAATCCCAGCACTTTGGGGGGCTGAGGCAAGTGTATTACTTGAGGCCAGGAGTTTGAGACCAGCCTGGCCAACATGGTGAAACCTTTCTCTACTAAAAATACAAAAATTCGCCGGGCATGGTGGCTTGTGCCTGTAATTCCATCTACTCAGGAGGCTGAGGGAGGAGAATCACCTGAACCTGGGAGGTGGAGCTTGCAGTGAGCTGAGATTTTGCCCCTGCACTCCAGCCTGGGTGACAGAGTGAGAGTCTATCTCCAAAAAAAAGTTAATTATTATATTGAATATATTTAAGTGCTAACATTAGGCTATAACTAAGAGTGAATGAAAATTTTATTGATTTCATTTCATCATTTTTTTTCTGACGATATACTAATTCAATCCAACATTTTCCTTTTCCATTTGACTTCTGATTTGCAATTTGTTTGACAATGACTCTTGGGGTGGAGAGAGCCATGCAGGCTAGAGGAAATTCACAGGTGGTCAGTTTTTTCAAGCTATTATAATGACTTTTGCTTCCCTGTGGAATCTTATAGCTAGATAACTATGTGCTAAGGCAATATAAGCCAGTAGCTGAGAGTGTGGCTCTGGCAGGTGGAGCCTGGTTTGATCCTCTCTAGCTATCAAATCCTGGGCAAGTTGTTTAGTCAGCCATACGCTGCCTTGGTTTTTCTCACCCTTAGAAAAGATGAATGACCGAATACACAGAGAGCGCTCAGAACTGTGCCTGGCTTCTCTTATGGGCTCAGTAAAAGTTATTACCAGGTTTTATTAATTTGGGTATTTCTATCTCAGTCTATCCGCACTGCATCAGTGAGCAGGCCAGGGTTCTTCAAGGCTTCAGGGTGACCTCTCTGTGTCCCTCTCACTCCGATTTCCATCCAGTTCCTGGGCCACCTTACCTGGGTGACTTCCTCACTGAACCCCTCCAGTCGGGACGAGCTCCTGCAGCTGTTAGACACCGCCAGGGTGAGACTCTGGGGAGGGAAGAGGGCAGGATCTTGTCCCCTTCTCCCTCTTCTCCCTGCGGACCCCGGGAACTCGAGATCTGCCCCTCCCTGCAGCAGCTGAAGGAGCTGCCGCTGAAGACCACGGCGGAGCAGGACAGCATCCTGAGCCTGTCTGCCCGCTGCCTGCTGCTCACCTGGCGCGACAATGAAGAGCTCATCCTGCGCATCCCTACGCACGAGATCGCCGCCGCCTCCTACCTGCAGGACGACGCGCTGCACCTGCTAGTGCTCAAGACCGGTGCGGCGGGCGGGGGCGGGGCAGGGGCAGAAGGTTTGCGGGGCGAGGAGCTGGACCTGCGGCGGGGGCGGGGGCGATGGAAAAGGCCTGTCCATACTACGCTGAGACTCGCGGCAGGCCAAAGAGGCCCTGGGCAAGCACACCGGGCCTGAGTTTGAGGATGAAGGTGGGTGACCTGAGCCACTACACCAAGGCCAGGTGGTGGAGCACGGAAAGGGTGAAGAAGCCCAAGACCCAAGGTCAGGACTAGGCCCGCAGTTACCACCTGGCTCAGAGGCTAGGGTGGACCCTGGGGCTGGGGGCGGGGCCTGAGTCCGGGGGCGGGGCTGAGGGGAGGCGGAGGGTCGGAATCCAAAGGGCCGGTCCCTGAAACCCGGGACTGGTCCCCAGTTAAGGCTCCCTAGGGAGAGGACAGCCTGATCACCACCCTCAGCTCAGAGGGCAGGTCTGAGGCCAGGGGCGCGGGCGGCGTGGGGAGCGTGGAAGCCACCTGGCCACACCACCCGGAGCCTAGGGGTGGAGACTAAGGCCGAGGCGGGCCCGAAAGTGTGGAAGCGGAGTGGACGGGGAACGCGCTAAGTTAAAGCCGGGGGCCAGGCGGCGGTGGGGCCCCAGAACCGCGGGGTGCTCCAGCCGGCCTCAGAGGGGGTCTCTGAGCCCCGATCCCCGAGGCTGACGGCCCCCTGGGCTCTCCTAGGTCTGGGTGTGGACCCGGTGCCGGCCGGCGTGGACGCCAGCCCCGGCGGCGCAGGACGCGACCCCGGCCCGCCAGGCGCGGCGCCCGAGAAGCGGCGGGTGGGCACCGCGGAGCGGCGCCACACCATCTGCAGCCTGGACTGGCGGATGGGGTGGGGCGGGGGCGCCGCGGAGGCCCGGGCCGGGGGAGGCGGCGGTGGCAGCCTGGAGCGCCAGCGAGCCGGGGCGCGGGCGTCGGGCAGCTGGGAGCGGCGGCAGACGTTCAGCGGCAGCTGGGAGCGGCGGCACGCAGGCGGAGGCGGTGGCGGCGGCGGCGGCGCGGGCAAGCCGGGCGGCAGCTGGGAGCGGAGGCAGGCGGGCGGCGGCGGCGGCGGCAGCTGGGAGCGGCGACACCCCGGCCCCAACCCGCTCGACCCGCAGGACCCCAGCCCCGACGCCTACTGCAACCTGGTCATCTTGGCTGTGGCCAACAGGGTGAGCCCGAGGGCAGCCCGCGCCCAAAGCCCGGCTTCCCCCCACCCTGCCCCCGCCCCACCCACCAGGTTCCTGGGTTCTGCCCCTGCCTTTTCCCTGCACCCACCCCACCTGGTGGCTCCTAAACTCCGGACCTGGGCACCTCCGGGGTGCCTCCTCCTGGCTCCCTCAATGGAACGAACTCTCACAGTGGCCAAAACAAAGTAGATCTCATCTCCAGCCGCGTTCCTTCTTCAACGTTGTCAGTGTTGTCCCCACCACGGTAACATTCACGAGGACACGAATCACCAGCATGAATCGAGGGCCCGCTCATGGCAGACACAGGGCAGCAGCGACTCATTTAATTCTCACAGCAACCTCTGGAGGCAAATATTACAACGACTGTATCACCATTCTATAGAGAAGGAAACCGAGACCCATAGGTGAAGTAACATAGGCGAGGTCACACGGGAAGCGCTAGGTGGTTTTAAGATTCAAATCCAGGAAGTGCAGAGTCAGCACTCTTGATAACTAAGGTGGTCAGCCAAGGCAGAAGCCTTCTTGCCGTTCTTCCTTCCCCCTCCGTCTTCCCCTTTTCTTCCCCCATCCTCTACATTCCCCCTTGCTTTTATTCATCCAACCATGTTTATTGAGTGCCAGCTCTGTGCTAGGCAATGGGCTAGGTTCTATGGATACAGACGTGAAAAGACATCTGGTGTCCTCCCTCAGGGAGCTCACAGTCTAGCAGACACCTTCAAGTTCTGAGCATTCTAAGCTTTTCCTCTGATCTTGGACCACCAAATCCCTCTGTATAAAAACAGTGGTGAATGAAACATAGTTCCTGTCTAAAGGGCAAGGCATTAATCACCAGTAAACTCAGACACCACAGCTGTCTCTCTCCCCTTGAAACACTTCCTCACTTGGCTTCCAGCTCTCCACCTTCTCCAGGCTTTTCTCCTACCAAGCTGGTTCCTCCTCTTCTCTCCAGAAGTTGGAGTGCCCCAGACTTCGGGCCCTCGATCCTCTTCCCTCCTCCATCTATCCTACATCTACCCATTTCCAGGTGATCTCTCGTCTCACGGCTTTTGGAACACTGAACATTCCTCAGGTTTTATTTCCCACCAAATCTCAATGCAGTCTCTCTATCTGAAGGTCTGACAACTGTTTCAAACCCAACACATCCAAAGCTGAGCTCCAATCTCCTCCCCCAAGCCTGCTACTCCCTTGGTTTCCCTGTCACAATGAATAGCAGCTGCATCCTTACATTGCTCAGGCCAAAACCTTGCAGTGGCCCTTGGATGGCTCTCACGGTGTCTTTCTCACACATGCCCCATATCCACTCTGTCAATCAATTTTGTTGGCTCTTATTTTTAAAACATAACCAGGCTTGTAATCCCAGCACTTTGGGAGGCTGAGGCTGGTGGATCACCTGAGGTCAGGAGTTCAAGACCAGCCTGGCCAACATGGTGAAACCCCACCTCTGCTAAAAATACAAAAATTATCCAGGTGTGGTGGCAGGTGCCTGTAATCTCAGCTACTCAGGAGGCTGAGGCATGAGAATCACTTGAACCCAGGAAGTGGAGGTTGCAGTGAACCGAGATGAAGCCACTGCACTCCAGCCTCAGTGACAGAGCGAGACTCTGTCTCAAAACAACAACAATGAAAACATAATCAAAACCCATTTACTTCTCCCCATCCTCCCATGTACCCACCCAGGTCCATGCCTCATTTTCTTTCACCTGAATCGTGTGGTCACCCTCTAACTGGTTCAGCCCTTGCTGGCAGTCTCCTCCCCCACACAGAGTGGTTCTGTTAGCATGTAAGTCACATCATGTCACTACTCTACATCTTCCAGTGGCTTCCCATTTCACTCCAGGTAAAAGCTAACATCCTTACAGTTGCTTACAAGGCCATTTGTACTCCGGCCACTATGCCTACTTCCTCTGTGGCTGGAAATAGGATTCCAGACAAAGCCAACAGTGTGCCCTGTTCATCCCACTGGACTGTGAGGGCTTTGGGATACTAAACCCGGCCCAGTGCCGGTCACACAATAGGACTAAATGGGAATTTGTGGAGTGAGTAAATAAATGTAATCCTAACACTTTGGGAGGCTGAGGCAGGCAGATCACTAGGGCCCAGGAGTTCCAGACCAGCCTTGGCAACATGGCAAAACCCCATCTCCACTAAAGTTACAAAAAATTAGCTGGGCATGGCAGTGTGTGCCGTCGCTACTCAGGAGGCTGAGGTGGGAGGATCACCTGAGCTCAGGAAGTCGAGGCTGTAGTGAGCCATGATTATGCCACTGGGCGACTGGAGTGTGACTCTATCTCAAAAAAAAATTGCTTTTCAGGGATGTCCAAGTGTCTGGCTTCTTATCTGAGTGATCCTGGTCCCAAGGAGGGTATAGGAGTTAGAGTCAAAGAACCTTGGATGCTGGTGCTAACTAATGCCATGAACCTGCTGTGTGAGCCTAGGCAATTCACTTACCCACTCTAAGTCTCAGCATCTTTGACTGTAAAATAAGAATCCTCTTTGCCCTGTCCATGTTGTAGGTTTATGGTAAGGATCAGTCCTGGTTTAATGATTAGGACACACCCACTATCCCAAAATGCCTATCCTGAGTTACATTTTAATTTATACTTTGGGCTTTTTTATTTTTATTTTTTGCATCCAACCATCCATTATCTTGGGCCTTTTTAGAGACACAACATAGAGAAAAGCTTCATGAAGACAGTATCTTCATCAGTTACTGCCTTTCTATGTGTCCTAAGGTGTAAAGAGGTAAATTAAGGAGCTAAATTCCTCTTCAGATCTGCAGTCTCAAAAAAGTTTTAGCCAAGAACTTAAATTCCTTCTATAAGAGACTGAATTGTATGTATCCTGCTTTCATTTTCTTTTTTTTTTTTTTTAGACAGAGTTTTGCTCTTGTTGCCCAGGCTGTAGTGCAATGGTGTGATCTTGGCTTTCCATAACCTCTGCCTCCCAGGCTCAAGCCATTCTCTTGCCTCAGCCTCCTGAGTAGCTGGGATTACAGGCGTGTGCCACCACGCCCGGATAATTTTTGTGTTTTTAGTAGAGACAGGGTTTCACCATGTTGGCCGAGCTGGTCTCGAATTCCTGACCTCATGATGTGTCTGCCTCGGCCTCCCAAAGTGCTGGGATTACAGGTGTGAGCCACTGCATCCGGCCTCTGCTTCCATTTTCACACTGAATGCCAGGAAGTTCATATCTAAATATGGCTTCCAGTATTAGTAACTATATTGAGCCTAAAATTTTGATACGTTTAATCATCCCTTCTCCCACTAGGCATTAGGATAACTGGGTTCTAATCCTGACTAATCACTTCTTCTCTCTGGGTCTCAGTTTCCATACCTATACATTAAACTAAATCAGGATTTATCTTAGATGGGCATCAAGAAGGCTGATGAATCCTCTAGAAATCTGGGGTACATTTTTCATGGCACAAGAGTCAGATGTGTCACTGAATTCTATAAAGGGGTCTCACGATCCAGAGAGTAGCCATATAATTTTGATGGAAAAAGTCTTGAGAGCCAATTTAAAGGGCTCTACACGTGTGTATCTTTGTGCACATCTTCACGCTGTTTTAGGAAGCAGGGTAACATCCTGGTGGTTGGTGAGGGCCTGAACTCTCTCTCCTCCTCCCTGGGCCAGGACGCTGCAGAGGAGTCCTGCGCACTCATCTGTCAAGTCTTCCAGATCATCTACGGGGACCAGAGTATTGAGTGCGTGGACCGGGCTGGCTACCACTACACATCCACACCTGAACGGCCGTGGCTTTGCAGCCGCAGTGAGTACCAGAACTCCTGACCTCCTCTCCTGTGAAACATCCCAAAAAGGCCAGAGGGAAGATGGCCAGAACTCGGGGCTGGTGAAGGCCTTTAGGGTTCCTGATCTCTGCCATAATTATAGTGTGTCCCCCATTTGTAGGTGAAATGTCCATTTTCATGACGATCTCAAACTTAGCTTCTTCAAAGATGTTTGGGCTGCCAAATTCAGAACAAGCCCCCTAGAGTTGAACTCTTCTCTCTCCCTTTTGTTTTTGTGCCCCTGTATTGCAGAAACCTAAGCACATGTTTTGTCTATTTCCTGAGCCAGTGGTCCCACTAGGACCCTAAGGCAAAACCAAGGTTTCCAGATGGGTCCTTGGATACACTCAAGGACTAGAATGAGAATGAGACTAATAGAGGCATTTGTTGAGCACCAATTGTGTGCCAAGCACAGTACCAATGTGCCATGTCCTCATAGCAACCTTGCCTGTTCTCTGTCACTGTATCCCCCGTGGCTACCATGAGACTGGGTACATCAGACACGAAGTATTTTTTGAATGAATGAAAGAACTCTCTGAGGCCTTAGGATTCCAGTTTTACAGATGAGGACATTAAGGCTCAGAGTAGTCAATACATTACTCAAGGTCACACAGCTGGTAAGTGGCAGAGGCAGGATTCAAACCTGGGTCTGTCTGATTCTGAAGCTCTATCAGCAACAACCTCACTCCCCGTGCTGCCTTCAGGCCAGTGGGTGAATTCCCACAGCGACTCTCTCCCACAGCATGGTCCCAGCAACAGAGTGCTGGCTCTTTTCTTCCAAAGACCCTCCCATCTGTCGGAGCTGTGCTTGTTGGGAAGCTGGGTTAGTTCAACTCTCACAAGGTTGATGGGCAAATAAATGAGATAATTCAACAAATATTCCAACAAATTCATTCATTTAGCAAATATTTATTGAGCACCTACTATGTCAGATCCGGTGCTAACCACTATGTTATTCTGGTGAGCAAAACCAAAGGTGGCCCTGTGTTCATGAAGTTTACTTAGTGGAGGCAGGCTGACAGTAATTAAATAAGGACACAAATAAATATATAACCACAGGCCAGGTGCAGTGGCTTATGCCTGTAATCCCAGCACATGGGGAGGTGAAGGCAGGTGGATCACCTGAGGTCAGGAGTTTAAGACCAGCCTGGCCAAATGGTGAAACCCCATCTCTACTAAAAATACAACAATAAGCTGGGTGTGGTGGCAGGTGCCTGTAATCCCAGCTACTCGGGAGGCTGAGGCAGGAGGGAATCCATCAAACCTGGGAGGCAGAGTTTGTAATGAGCCAAGATCAAGTGCTGCTCTCCAGCCTGAGCAACAAGAACCAAAATTCTGTCTCAAAATAGATAAATACATAACCACAGACTGTGCTAGGAGAATGTATAATGAGGAACTGGCCCTATCTGGAGGGTAAGGAAGCAACACTGAGTGATTAGAAAGGGTGAGTCTAATAACCAGACAAATGAAACAACAGGACCAGGAGGAGAGCATGTTCTTCGTACATGGTGTTTCTTTGCTCTGAGAGTTTTCTTCACAGCTTTCTTTTTTTTTTTTTTCTGAGACAGGGTCTTGCTCTGTCACCCAGCTGGGACTGCAGTGGTGCAATCACAGCTCACTGCAGCTGTGACATCCCAGGCCCAAATAATCCTCCAGTGTCAGCCTCCCAAGTAGCTGGGACCACAGGCATGCACAACCACATCCAGCTAATTTTTTTGTTGTTGTAGAAATGAGGTCTCTTTATGTTATCCAGGCTGGTCATGAACTCCTGGGCTCAAGCAATCCTCCGGCCTCGGCCTCTCAAAGTGCTGGGATTACAGGCGTGAGCCACTGCATTCAGCTGACACTTTTTTTTTCTTGCCTGAAACCCACAGTTGACAAAATATTGTCTCACATGTTTCCTTATCTGCTGTTCCCAAGGCCCCATGAGGAAGGCAGGGAGGTGGTATTGTCCCCATGTCGGGGAAGTGGAGGATCAGGAGAGGAGAGGGGAGTTCCCCAGGGTCTGCTGTGTGTTGGTGTCAGAGGCAGGACCGGACTGAGACTGAGGGTGGGGCCTCAGGGAGGAGGGGATGCCGATCCCTGCTTTGCTGCCTCTGACATTGCCTCTGTCTGCTGGTGCCAGGTGAGAGCTGCCGCACAGATGGGACGTACGCCTATGATGCCGACTTCAGCTGCTGCAGCTCCTTGTGAGTACTGCCTGTGTCAGGGACTCCACCCTGCTCCCCTACCCCTGCACACACAGGGTCACTAGTCTCGACAGGGTAGGAGAAGGTGACTCAACCTTGATGTGTGCTGAGACACTGGGCACTAAGAGGGGGAGGTAAACTGAGCTCTCTGACTCTGGAAACTCACAGGATCCAGACCTCTGAGAGACCCAGGAGACACCAGAACTCAGACCCAGTCTACACAGGCCTGTGTGGTTCTCTCCCAGCCATCCAGGCATAGTGGCCTGCAGAGACCAAAATCATAGCTAAAGGCCAAAAAATAATTTTGGTTTATTTTGATTTTGGTTTCATGTAATAGAAAACCCCAAAAAGAGTATCTTAAACAAAATAGAACTTTTTTTCTTATATCTGACATAAAATAGAGCAATTCAACGTTTCATGGTTGTTAGGAGTTCGGGCTTCTCTTTCCTCCCCTACCCTCTTCAGGACTTGCAACAATCCTCAAGGTCACCTCATGGACCAAGATGGTGGTTGTAGCTCCAGCCATCACAGTAGCATGCCAGGAGCCTCTTTAAAGAGTTTTGCCAGATTCCCACCTGATGACTTCTGCTTATATCTCATAGGCAGGACTTGGTCACATAGCCATCACTAGCTGCAAGCAAAGGTGGAAAATTTAGGATTAAAAATATACATGTATTTCAGGCTGGATATGATGGCTCAGACCTGTAATCCCAACACTTTGGGAGGCTGAGGCAGGTGGATTGCTTGAGCCCAGGAATTCCAGACCACCCTGGGCAACATGGTGCAATCCCATCTCCACCAAAAATACAAAAATTTAGCCAGTCTCATAACCAAGTCTCAAATAAATAATTAATTTTAAAAAATTTTCAGGCCAGTAGCAGTGGCTCATGCCTGTAATCCTAACACTTTGGGAGGCCAAGGCAGGAGGATCACTTGAGCCCACAAGTTTGAGACCAGCTGGGCAACATAGGGAGACCCTGTCTCTATTTAAATAAACAAACAAACAAATAGGCTCACGCCTATAATCCCAACATTTCGGGAGACAGAGGTGGGCGGATCATGAGGTCAAGAGTTAGAGACCATCCTGGCCAACATGGTGAAATCCTGTCTCTACTAAAATTACAAAAAATTAGCTGGGCATGGCATGAGTGCCTGTAGTCCCAGCTACTCAGGAGGCTGAGGCAAGAGAATTGCTTGAAACTGGAAAACGGAAGTTGCAGTGAGCTGGGATTGCACCACTGCACTCCAGCCTGGCGATAGAGTGAGACTCTGTCTCAAAAAAAAAAAAAAAAATTAATTAATAAACAAAATTTTAAACAATTCAGTTGGGAACATTACCCAGGGTTCTGTTTAGGGTGACCAGCCATCCCAGTTTGCTCAGGAATGAGAGGTTTCCCAGGATATGGGATTTTCGGCGCTAAAACCAAGAAAGTCCTGGGTAGCCTGGTATGAGTTGATCACCTAGTCATGTCACTAAGGGCTTGGGTTTGGCATGTGGCAGTCTCTGCCAGTGATACCTGCCTTACTGTTTTTTTCCTTTTTAGTGGCGATAGATTTGCCTTCCTCATACTGTGTGCCCTTAGGCGAGTGTTTAAACAACCAGATATCTACTGGAGAGAGCAAGTAATAATGGTGTTTGAACATTGAGCTTGCTGTGTTCTAAGGGCTATTCTATAAAGCACGTTATTTTTTTCATCGACATAGCAACATTACAGCAGCTACTGTTTATTTATGGCTTGTAGTCCATGATTCTAAATGTTTTACAAATATTAACTCCTCTCATTCTCATGATGACACCAATTATTATTATCCCGTTTTACAGATGGAAAAACTGAGAAATAAAGTTTAGCTTTCTCAAAGTCAAACGGCTAGTAAGTTGTAGGTCTGGGATTTGAACACAAGAAGGCTGGCTCCGCAGTCCAGTCCCTTAACCACAAAGCTACACTGCTTCTTTGTAGGTAACAATGGAGGATGGTTCTGGAATAATTTAGAGACAAGGAGGCAGGAGCCCAAGGTTGAGTTTTTATTGAGCAATATTTCTTGAGTACCTTCTATGTGCCAGACACTGTGCTGTGTGCTGGGGATACAGAGGGACGAAAGACAGGGGACAAAACCTGGGCCTGGCACATAGTAGGTGTTCAGCAAATGAAGAAAACCAAGGTCCCCCGTCTCATCACATTTACGATCTAGCATGGGAGGCAATGAAATCACCATTTAACAGTAACAATCACTAACGGTAATAAGCACTAAAGGGAGGCTCAGGGCGCTATAAGAGAGGCTGAGGGGGACCCCAACTCAGCTGGGGAGTCAGGAGGGCCTCTCGGAGGCGACGGCACATGAACTGAGGCCTGGAAGATGAAAGGGGGAAGAGTGTTCCAGGTAGAGGGAACAGCAAATGTCAGAATTCTGAATTGGCCTGGCATGGTGGCTCACCCCTGTAATCCCAGCACTTTGGGAGGCTGAGGTGGGCAGACTGCTTGAGGTGAGGAGTTCCAGAGGACCTGGGCAACATGGTGAAACCCCGCCCTACTAAAAATAAAAAAAATAGCCAGTCATGGTGGTACATGCCTGTAGTCCCAGCCACTCGGGAGGCTGAGGCATGAAAATCATTTGAATCTGGGAGGCGGAGGCTGCAGTGAGCTGAGATCTCAGCACTGCACTCCAGCCTCAGTGACAAAGCAAGACTCTGTCTCAAAAAAAAAAATTAAAAAAGACTTCTGAACAGGAAAACAGGATAGAGCTTAGTGGGTTTGAGGAGCAGCAGGTGGCCACTGTAGCTGTGGCAGAGGGTGTGAGGGAGAGAGTGGTCACAGAGGATGCTTGAGGGGACCTGGAAAGGCCATGCATGTCACGAATGAGGGGGCACGTTCGGCAGAGGTTCTAACCCAACCTAGGGGAATTAGGGAACACTCTCCTAAGGAGATGACATTTAAGATCATGGGAAGAGTTAGCTGAACAAAAGGGAGGGGAAAAGAGGCATGCCAGGCAGAGGGGACAGCAGGTGCAAACTCCCAGAGGTGAGGAGATAGAAGAAGAGAAGATGGGTGGGGGCACAAAGAGCAGAGGCAAGCACAGTGAGATGAGGCTTGAGAGCTGCCAGGGCCAGGGTACTCGAGGCCTTGGAAGCCAGCGTGTAGTCTAGGATGTGGCCTCAGAGCATCAGCAGCTGAGCCCTGCCACCTTCAGCCTGCCTGAGAGCGAGGAACTGGAGGGAGGTGAATGAAGGCCCCTTTCTTCCCATGCCTGCAGCAATGGCTCCCAGGACACCTTTGAAGCATGTTACAGTGGCACGTCCACACCTTCTTTCCATGGCTCCCACTGCAGCGGCAGCGACCACAGTGGCCTGGGCTTCGAGCAGTTACAGGATTACTTGGTGACGGTGAGCTGGGGCAGGCGGCGGGAACGGCACAAGCAAAAGCCTGGAGCCTGGAGTAAACATTTTGGGAACTGCACATCATCCTGGATGTAACCGAATCAGAGCTCAGGGCAGGAGCTGAGGTTAGGAGAGTAAACTGAGGCCCACTTGTGAAAGACCTTAACCAATGTCAGCTGGCATTAATTGAGTGCCTTCTGTATACCAGGCACCATTCTAAGCACCTTCATGCATCATTTCTTTTAATCTTTTCAACAACCCCAAGAGGAAGGTGCCATCATTATCCTCACTTTGCAGATGAGAAAAGCAAGCATCGTGGAGGTTGTCACCTACCCAAGATCACAGAGCTGATCCAGTGAAGGGGTCAAGATTTGCACTCAGGCAGCTTGAGTCCACATCCTATTCTTAGATGTAGCCTATGGGGTCTGGATGTCCCCGGAGTAGCCCATGGGAGGGTTTTCAGAGGAGAGCCGAGCCAAACATGCCCTTAGCGAAGGCTGTGGGCCTTTTGGGCAGGGGTTGGGTGAGGTTGCTCCCTGGGATTGATCTCGAATGGTGTCCCCCACATAGTTGCGGAGTAAGCTGGGGCCGCTCGAGATCCAGCAGTTTGCACTGCTGCTGCGGGAGTACCGGCTGGGGCTGTCCATCCAGGACTATTGCGCAGGCCTGCTGAAGCTCTACGGAGACCGGCGCAAGTTCCTCCTCCTCGGTGAGCCCCCGCCGCACCCCAGAGGTCAGCTAGGGCCCCCGCTTGGCCCATGCCATCCCAGTCAGGCACTGCACTGCGAGTGTTTTCTTATCCTTCAGCCTCTGATCAAGCCCAAATCATGAGATTTGAAGGGCAGATGAGGAGCTCAATGTGTAGAGTAGGGAAAGAATTTGTCAGAGCTGGGAGACACTGTTCATAAGAAGAACTAAGCAGTGGTGTGGTCATTTCATCTTCACAGCAAAGCTGGGAGATGGACTGATTCTTCCCATCTTGCCCCATATGGAAGCTGAGGCTCAGAAAGGCTAAGGAACGTGTCCAAGGTCACACAGCTAGTAAGGAGGACTAATAATAACATGAGGAATAATACGAATAAACTGAGGTGCTTGGCAGTTACCATGTGCCAAGCATCATCTTATTGGTTGCCCCCAATTCTGAGAAGTAGATACCATTATTGGTCCCCATTTTGCAGCAGGTGAGGAAAGTGAGACTCAGAAGCAAAGGACTGAGGTCACATAGCTAGTAAATAGAGACGGAAGTAAAACAAACTGTTTACAGCGTGCTCAGTGTGTGCTGAGTACCTCGCTATTTAATCCTCACATCCCTACCCAGAAAACAGGTGCAACGATCTCAATGTCTCAGATGAGGAAAATGAAGTTCAATATAATTAATCAATGGGACTGGCCAGGCACAGAGGCTCACACCTGTAATCCCAGCACTTTGGGAGTCTGAGGCAGGTGGATCACGAGGTTAGGAGTTCAAGACCAGCCTGGCTAACATAGCGAAACCCCCGTCTCTACTAAAAATACAAAAATTAGCCAGGCGTGGTGATGAGTGCCTGCAGTCCCAGCTACTTGGGAAGCTGAGGCAGGAGAATGGCTTGAACCTGGGAGATGGAGGTTGCAGTGAGCTGAGATCGCGCCATTGCACTCCAGCCTGGGCAACACAGTGAGACTCTGTCTCAAAAATAAATAAATAGGAATACAATGATGGTACTAATAATAAAAACAAAAATAAGCCTGGAGAGGTGGCTCACACCTGCAATCCCAGCACTTTGGGAGGCTGAGGCTGGGGGATCACTTGAGGTCAGGAGTTCAAGCCCAGCCTGGTCAAACCTTGTCTCCACGAAAAACACAAAAATTAGCAGGGCGTGGTGGTGTGCACCTATAATCCAAGCTACTTGAGAGGCTGAGGCATGAGAACCACTTGAACCTAGGAGGCGGTGGTTATAATAATATAAAGTACGGTAACCTAGAATGTAGTGAGCATTCACTGTGTGCTGAGCGCTGTGTCGTTATTCACTGGCTTGGAGAGTTAAGGACCTTGGGAAGGCCACACAGCCAGTGAGTGACAGCAGGGATTTGAACCCAGATCTGCAGAGAGGACGCTTCCCCTGTAGGAGGGAAAGGGGCTGTGCCCCCAGGACTCACCCCGCCCCTCGGCTCGCAGGGATGCGGCCCTTCATCCCGGACCAGGACATCGGCTACTTCGAGGGCTTCTTGGAGGGTGTGGGCATCCGCGAGGGCGGCATCCTCACTGACAGCTTCGGCCGCATCAAGCGCAGCATGAGCTCCACATCGGCCTCCGCGGTGCGCAGCTACGACGGCGCGGCCCAGCGGCCGGAGGCACAGGCCTTCCACCGGCTGCTGGCCGACATCACGCACGACATCGAGGCGCTGGCCCCCGACGACGACGAGGATGAGGATGAGCCCAGGGGCGAGGACGCCGCTGCTGAAGACAACTACCTGTAGCCACTGCCCCTGAGGATGATGCGGCCCTGCAGCCCAACTGAGTCTCAGCCTTACCTGGGGGACCCTATCCCGGGGGCCCCTATCCCCAGGGCCCTCTCATCACACCTGGCGGGGACGGGGGCATCTTCACTCCAGGGTCTTGGTCCCTGCCCTCGGGGCCTGGCGCCCTGCAGTACCGAGAGTGTCCTGCAGGGGGCGAACGAAGCCGGGCCCTAAAGTCCAGGCAGCCACCCGGGGCTCCCGGGCTGCTCTGCCGGGCTGGGGCTGAGCAGCGATCCTGCTTTGTCCCAGGAGCCCAGAGCGCTTGGCCCCACAACACACCCTCCTCCCCGGAACGCCGCAACTTTCTGGAAGCTGAGGAAGGCCTGAAGAGTGGGCTCCACCTGCTGGCAGACTGAGAAAAGAATTTCCGGAACTCTGTCCTATTTTACAGATTGGAAAACCGGTTCAAAAAGAGAGGAAGAGGCTTGAGGGAAACTCCTAATTCTCCTTATATGACCTCAAACTGACCGTATTAAATAGCGTGGAAGGTCTTTTTCAGGCTGTAAATGTCAGGGTCCCCCGTCCCCTGATGCCTGACCTGTACAGTCAGTGTGGAGTAGATGGTATTCTCTACCCAGGCTGACTCAGTGGGGTGATCTGGACCCCTTTCTGGCCTTAAGACTCTGAACAAGTTGTTTGTTCAGCTCTGGGATTTGGAGCTAGGCCGACCTGGGGCCTCTATCTGGTTCGTGTCTGAACCTCTGTGTCCCTCCATCTGTCCAGTGAGTTCAGCCCCATCTACCTAACCCGTGGCCATGGGGATTACTGAGAGCTAAGACCTTAGAGCTGGGTCTAGCACATAAGTGCTCAATAAATGTTGTTCCTCTCCACATCAAACATTTTGTGGCTCTGTTTACCTTTCTTGCATAGTAATGAGCAAAAAAAAGATGCCTGGGTGCATCTTACCCCAATTGAGGTGGGGGTGAGATATTCAGAAGACCCTCAGGGGAGCTCACTGTTTGGGATGAAGAAGCAGGATTTCTCCTCTTGGGCCCTTATTACAGCCTAGCTCTGTGCTCAATCACACGCAAGAAATAGCCAAGACTCCATAGGCAGCCATCTGGGAGTCTGGGGTAGTCAAAGAAAGGTGAAGGCAAGGTTGGAGAGGTAGAGAAGTCAGGATAAGGACAGCACTCAGAACAGCCTGAGTAAAGGCTGGAAAGCTGAAAGGAATGAGGTCTGAGAGGAGGCACTCACATAGGAGAGCCAAAATGTGTTTGTGAAACCTTGCAAAGCCTTCCATGGCCAGACGCATGGTACCCACCATAAAATAGGTACTGTTAGCAATTTTCAAGTAATATTCTTAGGACTCCCGGTCCAAAGAGTTCCGTGATTCAGACTTGGTTTGTGGTCAATGATCATCCCATCATCGCTGGTCCGTGCAGGGCCCTTCCGATGTTTCATTTTATCCCTCTCCCAATCCACGTGTTCCCCACACTCCTTCTCCCTCTTTACCATGAGCACCTCACCGTACGTGCTGATATATGTCCCTGGGCCTAACCTACACAGTGCTTTGTGTGTGTGTTTACCTAAACGGTATTATATAAGAGTTTCATTCTATTGCTTCTTTTACTCTAATGTTTTCCTGATTTTTTTTTTTTTTTTTTTTTGAGACAACCTCGCTCTGTCACCCAGGCTGGAGTGCAGTGGCGCGATCTGGACTTACTGCAACCTCTGTGCCTCAGCCTCCTGAGTAGCTGGGATTATAGGCATGTGCCACCATGCCTGGCTAATTTTTGTATTTTCAGTAGAGATGGGGTTTCACCGTGTTGGCCAGGCTGGTCTTGAACTCCTGACCTCAGGTGATCCATCCTCCTCGACCACCCAAAGTGCTGGAATTACAGGCATGAGCCATCGTCCCTGGCCAATACTTTGCATTTCTAACAAGTACCCAGGTGATGCTGATGATCTACAGACCACTCTGAGAATGACTGATCTGTGATGGCTTCCACTGAGCAAATTCATTCTATTGAGCCATTCCTTAATTTTGAGGTTGTCAATTTTATTTATTTTCATTTTATGGATGAAGGAACTGGAGCTCAAGAGGTGAATACCCCAAGGTCACACAATGAGCTGGGCTTTGGACTCATGTCTGGCTCACCCAGAGCTCAAAACCCTAGCCCCTCTACTGTCCTGTCTCTGAGACTTTGGGATGAAGTGGCCATAGCCTGAGGCATTTGGACCTGAGGCTTCAGGGAACCTTAGTAAGTTCCTGAGCGAGGCAGACAGAGAAAGAGAAGTTGGTTGGGTAGGGACAGGGGCCAAAGATATAGGAGTCCCCCTTAAAGGCCTTGGGGCTTTGCAAGAAAAGCTCAAAAACTGCCCAAATTCCTAGCCAGAGCACAGTGACAGGGGTGCTGAGAGGCACTGGGACAGACAGTTCTTACCCCACAGCTCCGGGGATGGGGCAATTTCCCTCACACCCCAAGGAAGTCCCCACCCACCCCGGAACTACCTTCTTACGAAAACTGCCTAACCCCTTTGTTCCTGGGGTCCAAAGGGCACTGGCTGGGGCAGCCCAGACACTGAGCATGGAGACTCTGGCCACACTTCCTCCTGTAGCATCCAGAGACCCTGACAAGAATTGCTTCCCTTCTTGGTTCAGTTCCTGACATCACAAGAGGGGAAACCCCCCACCCCAGGGCTGGGATAGCTGGTTCCCAAGGACTTCCAGGGGTAGTGCAAGTATGGAACTTCCCCACCAGCTGGATCCCCTGGGGACGGTCTTGGCCCAAAGGCAAGTGGTAAAATTGTCTACAGCTGCCCCTAGATGGATGCCTCTTCCAGGGTGGGGCCCTGAAACTTCCTACCCCTCCTGACTTCCACTGGCAACTGCCAGAAGTCCTTCCCAACTATGTACCAGGGAGAAGGAGTCCTGGGGTCATTGTCAGCATTTAGAGGGCACTCACCCTGTGCCAGGCATTACACAAGACACTAGAGAGAGATACGGCACAGCCTGCCCACTGAGGGGCACACTGATGGGGAAGAAAGGTCCCAGATAATCAGAGCACAAAGTTCTCAATTGTAAAGTCAACAAGTGAGACGCCAGCTCTTTCTGGGGAAGCTGGAAAAGGCCTCACAGGGGAGGCGACCCATGAGTGAGAGCTTGAAGGACAAGGTTTTTGGCGAGTGGACAATAGAAAGGAGAGCCCTCCAGATGGGGACCCAGCATGAGCAAAGGCAGGCAAGCTTGAAGGAGCATGGCGCGCTCCAGGACTGGCAACCGCTTAGCAGTAGTGAAGCACTTAGGCTTCCTGGACAGAGAGTCAGAGGGTTTTGAATCTGAACTCTGCCATCTGCTTGTTGGATGACCTTGGGAAAGCCCCTAAAATATCCCTGGGTCTTGGTTTCCTCATCTGTCAAGTGGGGTTGATAATAGCCTCACCCTCGTAGACCCCATAGATTGTTAGGAGTCTTAAACAAGATAGTTCACGTAAAAGTACACGTAGAAAGTGCTCAAAAAGTGACGGTTAGATTGCTGGAGGAACATGGAGAGTGGGAGGTGGGAGAGAAGGTGGGTGGGCAGGAGTGGCAGGAGAGGAAACCAGAAAAGTGGGTGGATTAGAAGCCCTTGAAGGGCAGGCTAGGAGGCGTAGGCAATGGGAGGTGATCTAATGTTTGTTGTCTGAGTCACCTGGGCTGGAGTGCAGTGGCACAATCATAGCTCACTGCAGCTTCCAACTCTTCAGCTCAAGCCATTCTCCCAAGCCTGTAATCCCAGCACTTTGGGAGGCCGAGGTGGCCAAGGTCAGGAGTTCAAGACCAGGCTGACCAACATAGTAAAAACCCCGTCTCTACTAAAAATACAAAAATTAGCTGAGCGTGGTGGCGTGTGCCTGTAATCCCAGCTACTCGGGAGGCTGAGGCAGGAGAATTGCTTGAAGCTGGGAGACAGAGGTTGCAGTGAGCCAAGATCGTGCCGTTGTACTCCAGCCTGGGCGACAGAGTGAGACTCCATCTCAAGAAAGAAGGAAAGAAAGAAGGAAAGGAAGGAAGGAGGGAAGGAGGGAAGGAAGGAAGAAAGAAATTAGTTACTAGGAGCTTCCAGATGCAGTAACCACCCAATCAGGCCTACATGGCCAGAAATTGATGGCCCTCTTGGTGGGTCCTCCCACTTGACTTGTTTATCCTCAGGTATTTCAGGGTAGGGGGCAGAGGGATCTTAAAGCCAGGCCACCCTGTCTGCCCACTTCCTGCACTGGAGAGTTCACTGTCTCTTGTGGCAGCCCCTTCCATCCATCGTAAGAGCTGACATCCACCTCCTTGTCCTCCCACTCCCAGGGTTCTCCATCTGGCTTCTAACCTCACCTTTAAGAGCCCTGCACAGTATTCCTGATGCCTCAGCCACTGCGCAGCCCTGCAACAATGTGCAGAAAATGATGTTATCTGCAGAAACTTTTCATTTGTATCTAACAGCAGCCTGTTCTCAAAAAAATATTTTTGAAGTCTATCGTGGAGACAAAGGGATAGTGCATTTGATGTGTAAAGACCTCCAAGCAAATAAGACCAACAGCCTAATAGAAAAATTGGCAAATTATTTATACAGACAGTTCACAGAAAGTACAAACGACTCTAAAAGGCATGACAAGATGTTCAGCCTCACTCATAATAGCATAATGCAGATTAACATGACACCGAGCAACCATTTTTCAATTAAGGGATTGGCAGAGTGTGGAAAGTGTGATCACTCACGATGTGGGTGTAGGTGTGAGGAAACAGGCACTCTCACACATTCCCGGTGGGAGAGCGAGTTGGTATAAACCCCACTGAGCAATATCTACCAGGATTTTAGATGCATGAGCCCTTTGATGCAACAATTCCACTGCCAAGAATTTCTCCGACATTTATGCCCACGTGAGTGGAAATGAAAGTGCAGGGAAAATCACTGCTGCTTTGTCTCTAATAACAAGAGTTTGGAAATAAACCAAATGTTCAGTGATAGGGCTCTGGTTAAATGAACTGTGGCTCTTGCAGACAATAGAATACCATGCAGCCGTAAATAAGAACAAGGTTGCCCTATGTACTGATACAGAATTATTTCTGAGATAGAGTAAGTGGGGAAAAAAAGGCAAAATACAGAAGAATGCATTTTGAATAGTGCTGGGTTTTTTTTGTTTGTTTGTTTAAGAAGGTGGGAAATGTCTTATGGTGTACAATAGCTCTGGAAGGTACACAAAACAAGTTATGGTTGTGCTTCTGAGCTGGAGGGGTGTGGCTGCAAAATAAGGAGGGAAGGAGACTTTCTCTACATGATGTGTCTTAAATGTTATGTCATGAATATGAATTACAGCAAAGCAATTTTTTTAAAAACCACTATTCCAGTATTGTGGTATTTACTGAACTCTATAGACACCATCTGTTTCCATATCTGTCTGACCTCTCCAGCCCCACCCCTACTCCCAACACACACACGCACACACGCACACACACACACAGAGAGAGAGAGAGAGAGAGAGAGAGAGAGAGAGAGAGAGAGAAATCTTGGAAGGGGAGGCTGGTTCTGACTCATTCCTACACTCCCTGGAGCTCAGCACAGCACCCAGCTGAGAGCCTCCTGCCAACAGCCATGTGAGTGAACTATCTTGGAAACAGATAGTTTCCAAGCCCCAGTCCAGCCTTCCGATGACGTCTCACCAGGCTGACATGTTGACTTCAGCCTCATAAGAGATCCCAAGCCAAAACCACTAAGCTAAGCTACTTCCACGTTTCTGACCTACAGAAACTGTGAGATAATAAATGTTGGCCAGGTGCAGCGGCTCACACTTGTAATCCCAGCAATTTGGGAGGCTAAGGTGGGAGAATTGCCTGAGGCCAGGAGTTCGAGACCAGCCTGGGCAACATACTAAGACCCTGTTTCTATTTTTTAAATAGTTATAATTTTTGAAATCTCAGTCCTGCTCCTTCTGTATGTTTATACAATTTTAAGTTGCTAAATTTTGAGTCATCTGTTACATGGCGGTCTATAACTAACGCAATCAGCGCAGGTTTATTTTGTTGCTGTTGTTTTGTTTTTGTTGTTTTGTTTTGTTTTGAGACCACCTTGTGCTGTCATCCAGGCTGGAGTGCAGTGGGGTGAACACAGCCCACTGTTACCTTGACCTCCTGGGCTCAAGCAATCCTCCTGCCTCAGCCTCCCATGTAGCTAGAAAAATGTACCACCATGCCTGGATAATTTTTTTTTTTTTTTTGGTACAAATGGGCTCTCACTTTGCTGCGTAGGCTCGCCTCAAACTCCTGGGCTCAAGCAATCCTTCCACCTCAGACTCCCAAAGTACTAGTATTACAGGTGAGAGCCACCCTGCCCAGCCACAATCAACAAGTCTTTATTAAGCATTTGATGTGTACCAATTCCATGGGGATTGCAAAAGAAAAAGACATGGTGCTGTCCTTAGGTGAGAAGCCACCTGCACATTCATTCCTAGACTCAGTCCTTCCTTCAACCAACATTATTGAGCTCTCTGCTGAGTGTTGACCCATAGGATGTCAGCAATTAAAATATACCATAGAGGCCTATGGTCCCAGCTACTTGGGAGGCTGAGGTGGGAGGAT